AGAAGCATCAAACAGACTGTCCAACCTATGAGGGAAGGCAGGGTTGAGGGGGTAAGAGATCAACCAAAGGACTTGTATGCATGCATATGAGCATGGCCAGTGGACACAGACAGGGGGAGGGAGAGTGAGGGAATGTGCTGGGGGTGGGCGTGGCCAGGGAGAGGTCAATAAGGGAAAAAGGAGACTTATGTAATACTTTAAACAATAAAGAATTTAAATTAAAAAAGAAATTATATTTATACCAAGAAAAAAAGAAAGAAAGAAAGGATTTTGTCATGGAAATGAGTGGGGAAGAGAAACCACTTGTTCATGAGACTTTGCTGGGACACATTTCCAGCAATATCATAACCTTCCAGCTACCAGGCCACAGGCCACGGGCCATTCCCCCACCTGCTTAGGACACATTTCCAGCAATATCATAACCTTCCAGCTACCCAGGCCACAGGCTCAGGGCACGGGCCATTCCCCGACCTGTTTGGGTGGGTGGTGGAATTGAGCAGCACAAGGTGCTGGAATTTGCTTCCAGTCTCTTCAGGTACTTAGGCTGAGAAACCTCCCTATAGGCTCCTTCCAGAACAGTCACCGCTTAGCAACATGGCAAAGGTAATCCCACCTCTTATGAAAGCTGGCCTGTGTGAATAGCGGGCACTTTGGTGGGGAAGAGGGAAGAGTAGGACAGAGTATTACTAAGAAGTCTAATACAGGACCGTGTTTTGTTTTTACAGACTTATCAGCAAGACTGTTGAACGCTTAACTGTCCAAGATGCCCGTCCCTCCCCCTCCAGCGCCCCCGCCGCCGCCCACATTTGCTGTGGTGAGTGGTTCCTCGCCCTCCATTATTCATGCATGAAGCCGCCGAATGAAGCTGACTCTGGCACCCATGTGTTTGTTTTCAATGTTTTTGCATTCTGGCTTAAATATGATACGGGGAGCTTTCCAGGTGCTGGCGTGAGCCAGAACCAGGGTTGGTTGTCTGATGTCTCCTGCCGTGCGCAGTGCACGTGTGGGCCGTGGGGCAGTTGGGTGTCTTCTGCCATGTCCAGTGAGGGAAGTGTCCTGTTCATTCATTCCCATGCACTGACCTAAGACAGGTTTGCAAGGGCAGTTCTGCCCTGTTTCCATTCAAATGGGCCCAACTTCTGGGCAGGACAGTCCAGAAACCCAGGTCTCTACCTGAAAATGCATCCATTCCAGTGTCCTCCAGACCCACTCTTTTCTTTTTCTCTGCCATTTGCCCACTCTGTGTTTTTGACAAATATCCCCCACTCCCACCATTACCCCAAGACCTCCTCATACACCCACATCCCTCTTTAAATCTGTCCTTGCATTTAGACATCTAACTGCAAAGGAATTTATTCCCTGGGCTCATCCTGATCCTTGATAGACCCATCCTCACAAGTTAGTGCCCCCTCTTCCAGGAAGCCCACAGCCTTTCCCCGGGGCGACACAGGGGCTCCCAGCCATGCCATCACAAAGGCCTCCGCCAGCTTGGGAAGCCTGCATTGCTTAAATGCTCCCAAGGATGGGCCCTTCATTTTTCATGTGGGGAAAACTGATGCTCAAAGAGGAAAAGTCCTTTGCCCAGGCTTCTATGGGCACATTTCTATAGACCAGTGGTTCTCAACCTTCCTAATGCTACCACCCTTTAATACAGTTCCTCATGTTGTGGTAACCCCCAATTTCATTGTTACAAATTGAACATAATTAAAGTATAGTGATTAATCACCAAAACAATATGTAATTATATATGTGTTTTCCGATGGTCTTAGGTGACCCCTGTGAAAGGGTCGTTCGACCCCCAAAGGGGTCGCGACCCACAGGTTGAGAACCGCTGCTATAGACCATCTAAGGTTGGAACCTGGTTGGAAGAACAGACCATTAATTAGCTCGTTGCTATTTGAGTTGTGGTCCTCCAACTGCTGGTTAGAGCCCCCAAGGAGATAAGCACAGAAATTGAGAGTAAGCATATAGAAACACAGCAACTTGATAGTGTTTTGCCTGTTGTTGTTTTTTTAAATATGTTTGTATTGATTTGAGAGAGAGAGAAAGGGAGGAGAGAGAGATAGAAACATCGCTGAAAGAGAAACATCAATGGGCTCCCTCCTGGGGATTGAGGCCACAAGCGAGGCATGTGCCCTGACTGGGAATCGAACTGGCAAACTCTTGGTGTGTGGACTGATGCTCAACCACTGAGCCACACTGGCTGAACTGCCTGTTGTTTTTAAGATTGCATTTTTTGTGTCTTTTTTTTTTTTTTTACTAATTTACTGTTATTTTACAAAAATATCAGTCCATGATAGATTAGAAATTTTTTCTTAAAAATTGGTCTTTTACTTAGATAAGTTTGAAAAGCTCTGATCTAATATCACAGGATTAGTTTATATTTCCCCGGAAATGTAGGTTGTATACCACTGCTGGGCAGTACATACTTTAATTTTTGTTTTATTTCAATGTTCATGTGTTTATCTTAATACGTGCTCTAAAAATTATAACTAGAACACCCAGAGTTTAATAGGGATTTACTTTAAAATAAAATGCTCACTGAAAAGTAGTAAATTATATAGTGCATAGACTTAATAGAAATATAAAATAAATAACAAGTAGCATGAGAAGATGACCAAAATCATGAAGGCTGTACCAGAATGACTAAAATTTGGAAAACTTTATTTATTAATTTTTTCAATTGATATATATTTGACACATAATGTTGTGTAAGTTTTTTAAAAAAATATATTTTATTGATTTTTTACAGAGAGGAAGGGAGAGAGATAGAGAGTTAGAAACATCGATCAGCTGCCTCCTGCACATCTCCCACTGGGGATGTGCCCGCAACCCAGGTACATGCCCTTGACCGGAATCGAACCTGGGACCTTTCAGTCCGCAGGCCGACACTCTATCCACTGAGCCAAACCTGTTTCAGCATAATGTTGTATAAGTTTACGCTGTACATGTTGGTTTGACACACATATATATATATATATTACAATTAGCTCTGTCGCTTTAGCTAACACCTCCATCACATCACATAATTATCTTTTCTTCTTTGTGGTGAGAACATTTAAAATCTTGCCTCTTAGCCTGATTATAATGCAGCACTGTTGACTGTAATTACTGTCCTGGGCATTAGATCTCCAGAACTTCATCTTCCAGATGCAAGTCTGTGCCCTTCAACAGCAGCTCCTCAATTCGGGGAAGGGACATTTTAGACCCACATTTATCCTTCCAACAGATTATAGGGAGGGCTCTGCAGCCAGACTGCCAGGGTTTGATCCTAGCTCCTGCTCTTACCAGCTGGGAGACCGGGGCGAATGAGCTAACCTGCCTGCGCCAAGTTTCCTTGTCTCTAAAGTGGACCTACTGACTCTCCTTTTTGAGGCCTAAATGAATTAATACACATGAAGTGCTGAAACAGTGCCTGACCCATAGTCAAAGCGATGTTATTGTCATGAACAATGTCAAGACCCTTGCCGCTTAACACACAGAGATTCTATGTAGCCAACTTGAGGGTTTTTCTTAGCTCCCCCTTGGCCTCTGACTGCCTCTGTAATAAATAACTAGGTACCAATGGTTTAGCATCAGGCTAAACCTCCCAGGTTTACCTGCCATGGCCCTCACTGGCACCTCCAAGATCATATCCTTCCTGAAGGGCTGGGCCAGCCGAGAGGGCCTCCCGGGTCTGCCAGATGGCCTCTCCCTGGGACCAGGCCAGACCAAACCAGTTTCCAAGTGTGACAGACACAGGTACATGCCAACTTCCAAGTTCGTATGCTGGGCTCTGAGAGTCCCCACTCCCTACAATAATCCTGGATAAACAAGAGCCCAACTTCATAGTAAGGATCTCTCCCAGGAATTCTGAAAGAATAGGAAATACTCAAATATTTTAAAGCAGCACTTTTGTCAGCTCTGCAATCTCTGTGAGCTAAGCTTTCAAAGAAACACCTTAGGCCAAAGGGACATGAGGGAGTTTTGAGTTCATGGAAATGTTACACACTTTGCTTGTGGTGGTGGCTACAAGCAAGGTGATTGTATATGTTTGTCAAAACTCACAGGACTATACATTTAAAGGGTGCTGTTACTATATGCAAATTATACCTCAAGTCTCTCTTAAAAAGAAGGGGGGAAAAAACTTTGGCAATGTAAACAGAAGGAATTGTTTTTCTCAAACTTTGGTGGATTAAAAAAATAATACAGGTGACCTGTTCTGCTAGGAGCAGTTTTCTCCTTGTACCAGTTAGTTCCAAAAGATACAAAAGAGAAGCTCTTCTTCAGACACATTCTAGAGAATGAAGCCTTGTAGCATCCTGTAGAATCTTCCAGATTCAAGTTCCCTTCTCATTTCTAGCCATCAACCCGGGCATTGCCGGTAACAGCCAGACAATGGTCTGAATTTTCAGAGACTTTTATCGGGAACTGACTCTACCTGCATTAAAAATAAATGTAATTGATTTCTGTATCTGCTCCCAAATGTCTGGGTCATAAAAAGAATGACACCGGGTCTAAAACTTGTGGAGAATTTACAACCTATTGCCAGCAACCTCAATCCCAAGCTCCCAACATGCTAGCTGTCTCCACTGAGGGTTGTAGCACTTGATTTTAATTCAAGAGATGAATACGAGTTTGCATGGTTTCCTTTCAGGCCAATACAGAAAAGCCTGCCTTGAATAGGTCAGAGCTGGCTGGGAGAAATGCTCTGCTCTCCGACATCAACAAAGGGAAGAAACTAAAGAAGACCGTCACCAATGACAGAAGTGCCCCGATACTGGACAGTAAGTGAAGGAAGTTCTTTTCCATAGAGAGAAGTGGTTTATGGCGTAACACTCAACCCTACCCTTTCCACCAAGAAAATTTTTTTTGGTTAACAACAGCTGCAAAGCTAGCAGAATAAGGGACTGTGTCACTCATTGTAGGCCACGGCTTCGGCTTGGGTTCCCTCTAATGCTGCAGGAAGCCAGTATAATAATTCTTTGTTTAAGACACACACAGCAGCGATTCTCTGAATTATTCAAACACTTTCTGGAAATTAACTCTTTGCTCCTTGCACCACAGATCAAAAGGCAGCATGAAACAGGGAAAGAACCCTATCCTTGGAATCAAAGGATACGGGTTCAAGTCCTGGCACATCCATCACTTACCATCTCCAAGTCTACTGCCCTTGCAAGTTCATTGCGAACATAAATGAGACAATGCTGTAAAGTGTTTTGTTGCCTGCAATGTGAAACTCAAGTGTAAGATATGATGTTAGGAGCTTGGAGAAAGAGGAAATGAGATCACAACTTTGCTTATATACCCATTGTAAGTCTGAGATATTTTCTGGAACAAGGCAGGATGTGTATACACAAGCAAGTACCCACCACACAGGGCTGCTTATTAACATTTACAACAAAATGCAAAATTATACATGACTAGAACCTATGGATAGTTACTAATCAGGCCTTGAGACTATCTCCTCACATTCCTACATATTTCCACTGCCAGCCAGATGTCTCCTGAATTCATACTAGACCACAGAGCCCATTTGGACTCAATAGAAAATAGACAAGTAAATAATGATGCAGGATTTTAGCCAAGTGAAGGATAAGAAGGGCTTAGGAGGAATTTCTAGGAAAGGTGCCTAATAAGAGAAGGAGAAGGAGAATTAGATGAGACCACTGGTGTAGGAGGTAAATGGCAAAGAGGAAAGCCAAGACAAAGGCTTTTGAATGTTGTTCTATTACCCGGCAAGGTGGTGCAAATAAGAATGCACCATAACCCCCAAAAGGAACTGTGATGTCTTTGACTCTTGATACAGTTTTACCTCCAGATCAAAACTGATGTGGTTAATGTATAATCAATCCCTTAGTTCTCCTGATCCATGTTACAAGATTCTCCCAAGGGGAATCCCAGCACAGTCACTTATATAAGGGGAGCCTTGGTCCAACAACCATCAAGTCATGATGCCTGGTATGGGGCCAGAGGCCAACCTCTAGGACAGAGCCCAGTGGTTCTCTCCACCATGAGTGGGAGGCTAGGCTCCAGAGAGGTGGATGTGAGTTCCCCAGATGTTGAAGGAGACTGGACAGTCTAGGACAGGGGTGGGCAAACTTTTTGACTCGAGGGCCACAATGGGTTCTTAAGCTGGACCGGAGGGCCGGAACAAAAGCATGGATGGAGTGTTTGTGTGAACTAAGATAAATTCAAAGTAAACATCATTACATAAAAGGGTACGGTCTTTTTTTTTTTAGTTTTATTCATTTCAAACGGGCCGGATCTGGCCCGCGGGCCGTAGTTTGCCCACGGCTGGTCTAGGACCTAGTCCTGAATCCACTAGTGAAAACTCATTATATTCTATAAGCTCCACTTATCCTCCCATTAAATGGAAATAAATGTTAGTTCTTCCTCCCAGCTGCTCACTTTGCTTGGTGGACACAAAATACAGCCCAATGCATGCCCTTGTTATCCATGCAATTACTTGGCCACCAAGACTATTGTCACAAGCTCTTTGCAAGTGACAAAGTCCATCTATGGTTTTGAATTTTTTTGCAGGTGAAACCTCCCTGGGCTCTATATCAAAATGTTATCATGGTTATGCATGTTATAAGTCCTGCAGTTTAATTACTAACAAAGTGACCTGTGCCAGTTAGCTATCTTCAACTGCTTTGGCTTCTCTATGGAAAGATAGACTCATGGATGGTATCTGATAGTGCATTGATCCCTTTGAATGTTTAATACCATTTAAAGGTGTCCTATGTAAATGTAATATACCAAATTGTATCATTCATTAATGAATAATATTTGAATGACAAGGGCATTATTAATATTACTAGAGTCCCAGTGCATGAATTAGTGCACAGTCGGGTCCCTCCTGGCTGATCGGGGCCATCTCGCCCAGTCCCAATCGGGGCCGGCTGTGGGGAGGGACCACGGGAGGTTGGCTGTGGGAGCATACTGACCACCAGGGGGCAGCTCCTGCATTAAGTATCTGCCCCCTGGTGGTCAGTGCGCATCATAGCTACTGGCTGGTCGTCTGGTACAGTTGCTTAGGCTTTTATATATATATAGATTGACAATATTATTGCTACAGAGCCAACAAAGACATGCTAAAACTATTCCATAAAGAAGAAAACACAAATGAATAAAACTAGAACTCAGGAAGCAGATAATTAACACATTGCGTACCGCATAGAAATGTCTAAGACATACGCCAAGGACCGCACGTTTTTGGGCAAACTGCACGTTATTTAAATCATCATAATGCACTTTAGGTGTTGTTTTTCAATAATTATAACATTTTTATTTACAAAAACAATTAAACAATTAAAGTTCCTAGTACTTTTTTAACGTATGGTACTGCGTAAAACATTTTCCTCTATGAAGAGGGACCAAACAAAATTTACATAAGTATCTAGATTCGCTCCTTTTTCCATGGGCGTGAAAAACGAGAACACTCGTGAGCGGTCCTTAACAGATGGCGCACAAAACACGAGAAAACTCCTGAGCGGTACGAAATGTGTTAAGAGATTCAAAGCAGATTTTTTTTTAAATCAAGGATGCTATGATGAACTTATATGTTAAATCATTTAGAAATCTTAAGTTTATGTTCTAAGAAAAACATAAATTTACTAAAACTTACTCATGAAGCCTCAGTGAGCAAGGAAAAAGTTGAAAGCATTATCAATTATTTTCCCTCTAAAAAACTTTAGAGCCAGATGATTTTTATCAATAAATTATTTCAGATTTTAAGTGATAGCTAATTCAATGCTGTATAAATTATCCACTCCCAAATACAGGAAGAGATGAAAGCCCTCTGATAGGTGTAATGAGACTGGCATGATCCTAATATCACAATTTGACAAAGGCAGCATATAAACAAAAAGAAAACTATATATTAGTGTTCCAGTGGACCTGTGGCAATGTCTGGAGGCATTTTTAGTTGTCACAACTTGGTGAGGGAGGAGTTCCTACTGACATCTAGTGGGTATAGGTCAGGGATGCTGTAAATGTTCTACAGAGAACAAGACAACCATCCACAAGAAAGAATTACCAGACTAAAATGTCAGTTGTTCCAAGGGTAAGAAACACTATTATAGATGGACCACTTATGATCATAGATGAGAGGGTACTAATGGAAAAAAAACACACAACAAAAAATCTAATTCAATATGTGTAGTAAAAGAATAATTCATCAACATCAGGGCTTACCTCATTTTTAATGTTAGAAAATCTATAAATGCATCATATCAAATAAGAAAAACCATATAACTTTGAAACATTAGAGGCATTCTCATTAAAGTCAAAATGTTTTCCTTTAGCAACATTAATAATTTACATTGTTATGGAAGTTCAGTCATCAAAGTTATTACTTATATAAAACAGAAATAAGATAAGATACACAACTGTTAGAAAAGAAGGGGAAAAACCTTTATTATTTGCAAACCATTTGTCTACTAGAAAATCCAAGATAATTTTTGGGTAAATTTTAATTTAAAAAGAACAAAGTTGTTTATAGATATCAAATGAAATTTCATGATGCCAATAATGACCAATCACAAATGTTAGTAGGAAAAACAATTTTTATAATTTTAACAAACAAAAATGTATTTGAAGTAACCCTAACAAGAAGCCTGTGTGACTCATATCAAGAAAATTATAGCCCTCACCGGTTTGGCTCAATGGATAGAGCGTCAGCCTGCAGACTGAAGGGTCCCAGGTTCGATTCCAGTCAAGGGTTTTTTAAAAAAAAAAAAAAAAAAAAAAAAAAAGAATGAAAAGAAAATTACAAAACTTTACTAGATAAATCAGTAGACACAGAAAATAAACCGTGTTTCTGTCCGGCCTCCCGGATTATTTTGTAAATCTCATATAATACTCATCAAAGACTCACCACGGTTTTTTAGGGTAGAACTTTAAACAATGCTTAACCTCATAAAACATACATACATAAATTATTTTTTTAATTAATTTCAGAGAGGAAGGGAGAGGGAGAGAGACAGAGAAACATCAATGATGAGAGATAATCATTGATTGGCTGCCTCCTGCATGCCCCGCATTGGGGATTGAGCCCGCAACCCACGCATGTGCCCCAACCAGGAATCGAACCGTGACCTTCTGGTCCATAGGTTGATGCTCAGCCACTGAGTCACACCAACCAGGTCATACATAAGAGACAACTTTATTTTGCTTGTTAAGTAATGAGAGGTGATGTTATCAATATGATGGTATCAGTTCAAAGGAGATAGGCAGATAGGTGCTGAAATTAATTTACAAATAGGTGAAAAATGGATCAATAGCAGTTGCCTTCCACTGAACACACCAATTTGCATTTCTATGGACTAATATTATTTGTATTATTGTTCTACAGTTTAGAGTTGTAAAATAGCTCAAAGACAATGGGAAATAACACAGAAGGCTAGACTTAGTAATCTTTTTCTTCTTCATTTGTTTGCCCATTTCAAAAGCTTTCACTATTTTTTTTAAAATAAATACAAAATAAAATATTTGCACTGTCTCAAATTGCAAAGAATTTTTAAATGTGGAAGCCTACCGTTGGGCTTAATGATACTAAAAAATTGAAATCAACCTAAAAGACCGTCAAGTAAGTAGATAGTTAAATAAACTACAATACATGTTCTAAAACACAATGCAGTCCTTTAAATTCATCTTTTTAAAGAATATTTAATGACACGGGAAATGCTAACAATAAAGTGTTAAGCAAAAAAAGCAGGCTTGCCGAAAATGCTAACAATAAAGTGTTAAGCAAAAAAAGCAGGCTAAAAACTGTCCAGTGAATGTTGGTCTTAATTTTAAGAAAAAAATAATAAAAATGAAAAGATACTGGCGGGGGGAAGGGGGGGAATATGCCAAAACACTAGGTATTTCCAAGTAGTGAAATTATGAAATATTTTCTTTTATTCTTTTTATTTTTACAATTTCCTTTTTTCTCACCTTTTTATTGCATCTCCCCCTCCCTTGAGACTTTATTTGAAGATCCTTTTATTTTCCAAATAGATATTAATTCATATGGCAGCTAGCCAAATGGGAGGCCTGGGGCCAGTCACCACCTATCACCCATTCTTTCACCGGGCCTGTGACTGCCCAGGAGTGGAAGGAACCCCTCCTTTTCTGATGAGGGTAAGGTAAATCCTTACAATCCTGCTTTTTAATCAGATTCCAGTTGTCTACCATAGGCCCAGGTTTTATTGTTACTGTGTACTTGGTCCAGGACTGGTGAAGGAGACTGGTAGTGCTTCCAGATCTGTGTAGAGATTGTGTTTTCTTCCTCTGCAGAACCTAAAGGAGCCGGAGCTGGTGGCGGCGGTGGCTTTGGTGGAGGCGGCGGATTTGGCGGAGGAGGTGGCAGCGGAGGTGGCGGCAGTGGCAGCGGTGGCGGAAGCTTTGGAGGGGGTGGACCACCCGGTTTGGGGGGACTGTTCCAGGCTGGAATGCCCAAGCTGAGATCCACGGCCAACAGGGACAATGGTAAAGCGTTTCCTTCTCTCTCGGTCACTGAAGACCAGGGTTTGGTGGTTTGGAGGCTTGGCATCCCCGCTAAGGCACCGCACCCTTTAAAACATTCTAGATTGCTTGAAATGTTAACTTAGAAGAGAGACTCTGTGGAGCATCTTTTTAAAATTAAATCGGTATCAGACGTGTCCTTGGGGTAACTTGTACTTTCTTGTACTTTTCTAAAGGGTGAGCTAGAGTGGGAAGAAAAGAAAGGAACAAATGGAACTTGCCGCCCTGGAAACTGCCCAGTGACCTGGCAGATTCCGCTTTCTTTGTGAGGCAGCCTGACCCAGCTGTCCAGCATAGTAAATACTTGTGAGCCGCATTTCTCACACACTATGGAGCGTGTCATACGGAACATAATTACATATCTCACTAAGTCTGAAAAGGTGTTTTGCTGACAGGCATTTGGCGTTTCAGGGCCAGTGAGTCTAAGTCTTCCCTGCAGGGAGCCAGGGAAATGAGTCCTTCAGGATTGTGTGTGGACCCGCTGGCAGAGGGGGAGCTGAACCTGGCCGAGCCCAAGTGCAAACCTCACAGAGCACGAGGCGCTCTCCTGACCATGGCAGGAGCTCAAGAAATCATATCATAAAGCTTTCTTTTTTCATGTTTACTGTTAGAAGAATTTTATCTCTAATTTTGTGAACTTTTAAAACGTCCACTGGGGAAAGTATGAAATTCCCACATTAGTCTGAAGATAAAGTCACTGAATCCTCAGTGACTATTTTAGCACTGGATGGCAAACTCTAGAAAGAGACTCAATAATATGAGAGAGTCTATCTTGCCAGACCTGCATTGAAATTGAAATTTATTTAAAACTGACCAGAGGGTTTTAGGTAGCTGATAAATGCATACAGTTAGTACTTTTTTTAAAAGGTGAGAAATTAAGGCAAGAGACAACTGGAAGTAAAATAAAATGAAGGTGGAATTTAAGTTGGTCCATAAAAGGGTATACCAGAAGTATATATGTTCATAGTATACTATCCACATAATGGATCCTATCCAGGTAATGTAGTAGCTGCAGCTTTAATCTGAACTTGGAAGATATAACTTATTACAAGTTGGCGACATAAAAATATACCACACAGTCAAGGACACTACATCTTCTTTTAGTACTAAAGTTGAAACAAAATTCTAGAGTTCACATTACTCCGCTGTATAAGTCCCTCCCAATGTCTGTCACTGTGCTTGGACAAAATCTCAACTCTTTTTGGCCTACGAGGCTCTTTCTGACCAGGCTCCTGATGGCACTCAGACTCCATTTCCTAGGGTTCTCTTTCCTCCATGCTCACTGTGTGCCAGGCACACAGGCCTTGGTTTTCAGTTTTTCATTTGAAGTTCATTCCCCTCTCGGGGTCTTTGTACCTGCTAGTCCACTGCCTACCGTGCTAACTGCATCTTTCCATGGCTGGACTCAGCTCAAATGTCACATCCTGAGAAGAGCTACCCAGCTATCCCGGCATCCCCAGGCACTCCATCTCATCGGCCTGTTTTAGTTTCTTTTTAGTACTTGTAATTTTCTGAGAACATTTTTGTATTTGCTGGTCTGTTGTCTATCTCCCCAAAAAGAATGTAAACTATAAAAGAGAGGATCTTTTCTATTTTGCTTACTCCTCTGTCTCTAGCATCTAGAATAATGGCTGACATACAGCAGGTGCTCAGCAAATATTTAGTGCATCACTTGGCTGTACTGGTAGTTTTCAGGCTAACCAATTTTTGATTCTGGGGTGGTGGTTTGAATTTTTCTATAACCTTGGTTCCCCCTTTAGTTCTTCTCTTTGTTGAACTAGTTTAATATTAATTGTGTAATAGGGTTTTCCTGTCCTGCCAATATTGAAGTGGAATTGACCCAGTAGGAAAAAAGTTGTATAGTTGTTTACTTCTTTGCAGATTAAGACCATTCACTGGTATTAACTTTTCAATTAAACTTTGACAGTTTTTTTTTCTTAGTTCCTTCTTATTTCTATCATAACTTTCCCATTCTATTTTTCTACTTTCTCTTGGGAGTTTCTCTTCAAAGAGACTAGGTAACCTTCTCATATGAAGATTTATACTGAGATAACTAATTTCTTCACCTTAAATGGCTAAGCTATTTTTTTAAGCCTAAGAAGTACCAGGGCAAGGAGGCAGGGATGGTGACGGGGAGAAAAAATCATGAGCAGAAGTCCCATGCGCCACACTGTCCTGTTCTTGTCCTCTGTGAGGAAGAGGGTCTCTCCAGAGCTCTTGGCAGCTTCCTCTTGGTTCCTGCCCGCGCATAACGCAGGGGTCTCCCCAGAGTCCTGTGGAGAGCTGCCCGGCTGTAGGACCTCAGGCCCGAAGGTAATCGGAGAGCTGTGATCAGCTCCTCTTCCTCCAGGAAAGGCCACACAAAACCCGATTTAAATAGCAGTTACCTGTATCTTGTAGCATCTAGGAAAGGATGTCCAGTTGCTGGGAATCTACTCTAGTTCCTGGTTTCTTTTAAGGCTCCTAATCTTCTAACTGAATTTGTCCCCCCCCCCCTTGTTCTTCAGATTCCGGAGGAAGCCGCCCCCCGATTTTGCCACCAGGAGCAAGAGCCAGGGCT